GACTCTGTATCAGTTTGAATACTGTTCTGTCCTGGAGACCTCCTGGTGGCTCTCTGCAAAATAAATTCCCTAGAGGGACACTCCTTAATATCTGAATGCTCATATGTTGTTTTTTTTAATACAAGTACTCAAAGCAGAAGGAAGTAACACATTATAGAAGAGAAGGAGCAATCTATCTAGATATGTTGGAAGTCCTTAAAAGATGAGAGAAAAGAGAATCAAATTCTTAGTTTTCTAAACAGTTTCATAGCAAATAAAACTTATTTCCAAAATCATCATTCTTATTTTAAAAAAACTACAATAATAGTATCTTTAGAATTATTTCAATATACCTACAACAGAAAGGCACAAATATTTATACAGTTCTTTTAAGTTCAGAAGAATGGCCCTATATTTGCTCTAGTGTAAATGAAGACAGAATTTCTTCCTCATTTTTATTTTTGAGGTAGATTTAATTAATATTGCCCACTAGCCAGTTATCTTTATTCTTTAGCTTTTTCTTAGTTTAAGTTATTAACACTCTTCTCTTTCGATCTGCTTGTTTTTATACACCACTGAAACAACACTGAACAGCAAATACTGTCTACAGAAGTTGCACTGGATTAGCTACAGAGGATGACAGTACAGAAGCTGATTTTTATAGTGCTGAGCTCACACTTAGAACTTGTTTAATAGCACTACTGAAACCAGAAAATGTTTGTTTGTAGACCATGCCCTAGGCTGTATGGTATTCCTACTCCAACTGACTGAAGAAAGGACCCAGTTTTTCATACTCGTTCAGATCCTTAAGTTTTGTCTGCTCTGAACCACAAGCATAGAACTGTGCTGTATTCTAACAATACTAACCAGATTTTAAGTCCAGACTGTAAATTATCCTACATACACCTAGAATTGATTAAACTTTTGCTAGTGAAGTCAGTACAGGTCTGGTTTTTGTATTATATATCTGTATGTCCACTGATAACAAAGCTTTTATGGGAATTAAGATTTCATTGATAATTAGAAGTTGATTAATTAATATGGATAAACAAAACCCTGATATTCTACCTACACCATTGACGTTATTAAAGATAATTTTTAAACAAGCCTAAATTAGGAAAAGTCTTTTCTTGCACTTTTTGCCATCAAATTTCACATAAAAGAAGCCTGGACTATTTCAGTGAGCATGGCAGGATAAACTTTTGAACTTCTGGATACTTTTGCGAACAATATTCAGCCATCACTGTTTATTAGAACTGGGGTTTGCCTGTCTGAACTGTCCCTTGTCCTCTTGACTATAAAATTGGGATGAAATAGAAACCCTGAGAATCTTACTTCCAGTTTGATTCAACTGAAAGTAGGAAGAGTTGTTTTGATAACTGTGATTCCTCCTCTCAAAAATTGTGTAAAGTAAACAAAACCAACCTATCTTGAGTGTTCTTGGTATGTTTAGACTATATCTTAAATATATTCACCCTTATTAATAAAAGGAGGGGAGCGTTTTCTCAGACTTTATTTCTACACATGGTAACAAAAGAGGCTAGTAATTCAGTACAAAACAGGGAAGATGCCTGAAGTAAGGATTGCATGCAATACCTGTTTCTGATTGTATTTCACCTGATGGTACTTGAGACCCTCTTCTAAAATGTATCTTTTTTTAATAGCTACTGCTGTCTTTTCATATATTCTGAGTAACCCTGCTTTCAGAGGGACTTGCCCTGATGTTGGCTGAGCCAGAAACCATAAATAAATCAAGAAAAAATCTGGACTTGGGTATCTTTTTTTTTGTATGGTTTTTTTTTTAAAGCAATTGGAGCTTGATTGATTCCATTTATAGCTTTCCTTTATGAGTGAGCTGCAATCAAGGGTTTCTTTCAAGATGTTTTTCTTCAATTTTATTCCATTTCTCTCTGAAAAGGTTCAGGTTTATGTAGAGGTGAACCTGAAGCTGAGTGCTCCAGCTAGCACTTTTAAACTGAGGAGATTCTGGATTTCAGAAGAGCAACTGAAAGAAGAGGCTGAAAACCAGCCCTCTGCATAGGCCAGCTCAAATCTTGTTAAAATATGTCTTGAGAGAGAAACTGGTGGTAGCTTGTTATGTGTTACAAGTGTCATGCTGGTTGTTGAATTCTACTTTAAAAAATTCTGCTGAGGGAATAATTTCAAAGCATTATTTCTCTATCAGTTGGGTATGCCTGCAGAAGGAACATATTACCAGCTTACTCATATCTCAATCAAACTTTGATTATTTTTTTTTAAATTTTTTTTTTTTAACACAGGCCTCACTGACAGTTACAGGAGCTGCTAGCTAAAAATTCTGTAACTAAAAATCTGGGGTATTTTCCTCATGTGTAAGACATCACTGAGACTTTGAGCTTCTTATTGTCCATGAGAACTGAAAATTGGAAAAAATGGAGCTGTTTCCCAGGCTGAAAGCCTGCCATGTAACTTTGTTGACTGCTTTTTGCTTATGGCAAGAGTTAAGCCAAGAGCATTTCAAATATTTGTTGTCCTGACTTAGTGGCTAATCCAAGAGGAGAATCCATTCAGTGAGAAAACATGTATTGAGCTCTGAGCAAAATAACTACATTTACTTGCCTTTTTTTTTGTGTGTGTTGAAAAAACTTTTTTCAGCTTTAATGGAAGTATCTCATGCCTTTTGGCCTTTTTACAGATTTTGAATAAATTACAAAGAAAGACCTTCTGTACTGGATTTATCAATAAATTTCTCAGAGTTCCGTGTTTTAAAAAAAAGTGTCAGGATGTATCATAGCTTCTGATTGATTGTCAGGTTTGTTCTTTAGCTCTAATCTTCTGCAAAAATATTAAAAATATAAATCTTTAATGTTCTTTTTTTCTGCACTGATATAATTAATTTGTTACTGATGTATAAGCTCTTAGCTCAGACTGGTGAGGGATGCTTATTGGAAATCACTGTATTGAACAAGGATAGTATGTGTGAGATTTTTTTTATTACAGCAGCATCTAGAGGCTTCATCTGAAATTATATTTTCTCTGTTAGACACTATAAACACACAGTGAGAGACAATACCTGCTCTACCTACACCCCACCCTCCCCCACCTGCAAAAAACCCCCCAAATAACAAAAAAACCCCCATCAACACCCAAACATGTCACACCGGTGATGTACTCCAATTAAAATAAGCACAAATTAAAATAAATACATTTTGATGGTGTGTCAGAGAGCCAATGCCAAAAGCTGGTTCAGCTGCAAAGTCTTTCAGGCAGGGTTTCTGGCTGGCTTACAGTTTCCTGACTGCAAGGGCTTGTAAGGTTGCAATCCCATACATAGGACTCTTCTGTGAACTTTTCATTTTGGTGACAGTGATTTTGTCAACCATTTTTAAGAAAGGTGATGCTCATGCAAAAAATATCTTTACCTGATTTTAGGATCTGAGTAAGAACTTTGTTCCATTATTGACTGACATGGCGGGCAGTGACATTTTAATGGTGAGTATCAAGCTGAGAAATAGGATAGATGTGGATATAATGTTTCACTAGAACCTTTGTCTCTATTAGAGTAATTAATAAAAATCACCTTTCTTATGACATTTGGGAATGAATATGGAGATTAAGGACAACGGGTTCTAAAAAACTCTTAGAGAGGGGAACTAAAATTTGTCTTTAACTTGTGGCAAGAGCTATGGAACTTAAGTTATGGGTATGACTGAAGGATGACATTCAAGTTTGTCATGTAGTTGTAAAAGTAACGTAGCTGGGTATTACGGCTGTGCATGTGTGCACATGCAGTGCACCTGAGCCATAAATTTCCTGGTTGGTGCTGGATGTCCCCCAGTCAGTCATCTGCATAAATGAGACAACAGACTGATTTGAAACAACAAACCTAGTTGAGCAATGGGATTGACTGAACTGCTGGCCTTCATAACAGCATTTGGCTAACTCGTGCAGGAACTCTCCAGGTGGCAATCTCAGGCTGTCCTGGAGATCCCACAGGAAGCTCCTGCTGTGCTTATGCTGATTTGTATGTTTCCATGTGTCAATTAAGAACTTGGCAATCTCATGGAGACTCTCCTGAAGTTCCTGCAGCAGAACTGACCAGGTTGCACCCAACTAAAACACTTGCAAATAGTCTGTAGAAACTGTTCCTGCAGATGCAGAAATGGTCACATAGTGTAGTCTTTTGGACCTAGTTAAGACAGGTGGGTGGTATTTTGCACATAGTTTACATTAATAGCAATGGATCATGCACATCCTGGATGATCATGTAGAGCTGTAGGCCAACAGGATTGTAAGATTTCAGCAAACCAAGTTTCCCGCTGAAGGTGCTGTTGCAAGTATCCTTGCAATAGAGACGTCAGTTGCCTTACAGAAAGCAACCATCATGTTTGAGAGATCTGATTCCTAAAGATATTAATAAATTAGTTTTAACAGTCACTCCCCCTATGTTCTATGTCTCTGCCCAGCAGACTCAAGAGTCAAGTTACAACTGGAGTATCTGCTCAAGTGTGGAAGTTGCAGTCGCTATCCACAAACAGAGGCAAAATAAAAAATAGGGCAAGACAGCATGGAAATAAAATGTTAAATGGATCAGACCCTACATGAACTAAAACTATCTGTCTTTCTCTAGGTGTCCTTTTTTTCCCCAAGAGTAGATCGCAGTGTATAGTTATAGGTAAAAGAGTACAAGCAGGTATAGAGTGTATATTCAACTCACAGAAATCTCATTCTGCACAGTCAGAAATGAAATTTTGTTAGTATAAGACTTGAATGGCATGCAAGGATAGAGACATTGAGATTTCACACTGTACAGTTACCTGATAGGTCATTACGATGGCATCACATGAACAGCCAAGATGCTGTGGGTAATCATGTATATGGATTTTATTTGTGGTTGGGGTAATGAAAAGAATTACTTTCCAAAGTAACTTTAATTTACATAATCAGAAAGAAAAACAGAAACTTAGTCATTTTGTGGAGAGAATCATTGCTATTCAATCAGGTACAGTAATTGTTCTAATTCTGAAATTAATTTGCATTACCTGGGTTTGGTTTTCCAGTTTGATATTGTCTTGAATTGAAAAACCTGGAATAATAAACATTTAAATGCTAGTAAAAAGTCATGTTCATCTTCTGTAGGTTAACAAAGACTAAGCAGTAATACCAGCCATTATGCTTTGTGCTGAGAATGGATGTGCCAGATCCTTAGCTACTATCACATGTATCAGCAGGGCTATACCTATTTTATTGACAGAGGGTTTGTCCGAAAGTCCTCCAAAATTCGTGTCACTAAACAATTTCCTTGTTCAACTTTAGCAACTGTTTAACAAATTGATTAGTTAATTGATGACATTCACACATTTCCTAGAAAGCAGCCCTCTACCAAATTTGCTACAGTACTGATTATTCGTGAATAATATTGATTAAAAGTACTTAGATTAAGGCAAGAGTGAAAGAAGCCTTAAGGCAAGCGTTTTACCTAGTTAACCTACCATCAATTCTGTGTTAATTTTTCATTCAATTCTTTTTGCACTTTGCAGCAGGGTGCTTTTACTTGTTCAAAAACTATGTTCCAGATAGATGTGAGGAACACTTGATTTTAATAGTTTTTTAATCTGATTTAATGGGTTTGGGGTGTACAAGATATGATTAAAAATTTGTAGAGCAGCAATTAACTTTTTAACAAGTCTATGTAAAATGCAGCATAAATAGAAAATTAACTATGTAAATCACAGACTGATGATCTATTAGATCATTTTAACCATTCTTTTAAAATTTACGCAGAAAAAAGCTTACTGTTGAATTATTGGTGTAAGTTGAGTGCCGAGATCTTCACAGTGGAACCATTTTTCAAAGAGAACATTAGTTGATTCTCCAACATAGTATCTGACAAAGTAAAAACATTAGTCAATCCTTTTATTAACTAAGTGATCATGCAGTTTCAGTCTTTTCAAGAAAATAGCTACTTGATGTTGTGTAAGAGCATGTTATTCTCAAGCCTGGTGTACTTTATTCTGAAGAATGGTTATTTAGGGAAGCTTTCTGTCTCCCTGGTTAGCTGACATGGTGGGTGGGGTGCTGAAACTTCTATGGAGGGCCTTGTAGTTCTGCTGATCAACCACAGATAAGTCACCAAATTCCTTCAGCAAACTTTCCAGATTTAATCCTGGAAATGATTGGTGACACAGTCCCTTGGGACCAATTACTCTCACTTTGGATGTAGTTACTGAAAAAAATAATTGGCCCCAAATACCATTTCCAGTAACTGCTTCCATGCAGCTATGAGATAAATGCTCATATTTAAGAGACTCAGCTTGCTTATTGCCCATGCATGGACTGTTAAGAAAACAAGGTAGCTTATGGACTTGTTTGCAAAAAATAGATGGTTGTCAGCTACATAAACTTGGTAAATGTTGTTTAGGTCACCCCTCTGAAGAGGAACTTAGTGCTTCATTTGCATTATTTTATGTCTTAACAAATAAATATTGTGCTGAGATCAACAGGTCAAGGTTGCTGTAATCTATGGAATGGCAAATATAGAATTTACCTACAGGTTTAAAAAAGACTGCATAGACTGGCAAGGGAGTGATGCTTAAGTACGGTCACTCAGATTGCAACTGCTTGTAAACAGGTTCTATATGTCCTTTGGGTTAAAGCCACTGGAATGTGTGTTTGAAGAGGGAAACAAGGCTTATGTAATTATACTGTGCATATTTGTATATTCATGTCTGTCTTATGTATCTATATATATATTGTCCAGAAACTTTCTAAGAGCATCGTGGCTCCTCAAGTTTTGCAAAAACAGGGTACTCAGAAGAGAGTAATATTATTAATGCCTCCAATATGGAAAAAGCTGTGCTTTGAGCACAAATATTGAACACAGAGAATCTACAGAGAAGAGAGATGTTACAAATGTCTCAGTTGGGAAAAGGCTTTGCACCTGGGAAGGACTCTGCACCTTATTAGGTGTTAAAGAATCCAACCACACAACTAACATCTAATACAGAAACTAGTTGTTTCTGTACTTCTTTGCCATAGGATTAAGATTAGCTAGTGCATTTTTCTTATAGTACAAAGCATGTAATCATTACTTAGGCTGAAACACTGGGGCAGGCTACTTATTCTTCACTTGTACAATAATTGGCATGCTGGGGGCTCTGATTTATGACTGAGGCTTGTAGGCATGATAAATAATGGAACAGTAACGTAATATTAGACCTTGAGTCAGCATACTTCAAAGGTTATTATGACTTCCTCTTGTAGAGTCTTTGCTGCAGGTGGCTGGGAGTGAAAAAAAGTTTGAGAAGATTAGAGGTTCTGGTTATAAATCCCCATCTCTCCCAGGAGCAAACAGAGAGACAATGTAGGTTCAAAAGTATGACTTGATTGTTTACTTCCAAAACTTCAGGTGTCTGTTCATCATGCCAATGTGAAAACAAGGGCACTAAAAACCTCCGAGTGATTTATTTTCAGGCACCTGATATTTTCAATTAAGAATGTGCTTTGTTAATCCAATTATTTTTTCCACCTGCAAACCATATGGTAGCTTTTAGTTTAATTTCTCCACAAGAGCATGACTATAATGGAGTGCAAATCTCTAGATCTACCTGGGATCCCTAAAAAGGCATTCAGCATCTAACTGATACCATTCACAGACCTCATGTACAAGGTAGGTTATTTTACTTAGTTACCTAAAGCTATTTATGTTCCTTTATTACAAATAAGCATAGTTATCTGAATCACTGGCCAATTGTTTCTAGCTCAAGATATCTTTTTAATAATGTAAGTGCTCATAATCCACAGACCTGCAATGAAAGGAAAAAAAGGGACAAGTGCATAGATGAACAATGTTTTAAGTGAACTGAATTTGTCTTTAGCTTGGAATCCAATCAGGTGTGGGTTTTTTTAATGGTCCCTTTCTTAGTTTCTTATTTCTTTCTTTAGCCTTTTTTGTTTGAATGAAAAAGCATATCTTTCTAGCTCCACATATTTGTAATCTTCCTGCTGTGGTACCGCCCATACAACAAAACTGTAGGCAAAAGGACAGAAACAGTACATTACAGATATTACCACAGTTTCAAATCTTTATAAATTACATGAATAGCTGTAAACTCTCTTTGGTCAGTTGTATCTGGTTAATATCAAACCAGCTTTTCTAACTTGGCTAATGTTACTGCTGTGACTTGCCTTCTTAGACTTATGAATTCTGTATGACCACAGGACAAGGCTTAGTCCTGCTCCTACTAGAATACAAAGTAAACCTCTCATTTCTTTGAAGATGTTGTTCGCATAAGGCAGTAAAAGCTAGGCAGAGGTGTGTACAATGTAGACGGGTTAGCATAAGGAAAACTGACTTTTGTTCCCAGCTTCCTGCATACGTGCCAAGAAAGCTCCTCTTCATCTTTTTTATTTCAGCGCTTACAAAGGAATTAATGTTCTGCTTGCCGGAATCGATTAAAAAAAAGTCTTTTTTGGTTTGTGTTGTTACAGAGCTCTGAGATTTTAAAACTTATGATGATAGTAGTAGGCAATACATAAGTAGATAGCTATAAACACAGCATGCATTTAAGACATTTCAACATGTTCCTTGTTTAACTAAATCAAATGCTAAATGAGATCTCTGTTTATGTATGCATAGGTAAATAGATGTGTGGATAAAATTAGTACAAAATTGCCAGGGTGAATCTGATAAATTATCAGGAAAGTAAAATACAGTATTGTATTGACATGAGAAATTAGTTTATATTACAAATCCTAACAGATTAGCCAACAGTTTATACTTCACCTGAGCCCATCAATTTCTGTCTTTAATCTTTCCCTCTCAATCACAAGACCCACAGTGTTTGCATATCTCTGAGGAGAATGAGGTATCCTAGCAGGTAGGAGGAACATCTGTTCAAAGAAATGGGAAAGCATCAGTGTCAGGAAGTCTTTGTTCTTTGTGTTGTCCTTCCTCCGCCCCCCAACCCACAAACCCCTCTGCTCCTTGCCCCACTTTTCCCCTACTCTTTGTTGATCTTGTGTTCCTCCTCTGCAGCTGCACCCACTTTGGTACCAACAGCCCAGCAGGTACTGTTTCTTGCTTTCTCAGTGAATGATGACCACTGACTGCAATCAGCACTGCTTTTATGGCAGTCAGGTGCTTTCCTCCTGGTTTGATCATCATTGCTGGACACAACTGAAATTAAAATCTAACCAGTTACTCATCTGGAATTTATAAATTTACTGCAATTTCTGAGTAGCAGAAACAGAAATAAAAAGCAAGTTTGTTGTCACCTCCAGAAAATGTCTAAACTAATCAACTACATGTATCCCTCCAACACAGTAAGCACCTGTGATTGCATGATGAGGAGTGTTATTCTCTTCAGAAATAATTAACAAATATGAGGGGCTACTTACTCATGCAAGTGACAAAGTGAATAGACAACATTAGGTTGGGAGAAGTCTATTGCTGAAGTTTGAGAATAAACCTTTTTCTAGCAGCTATCTGACTATGTAGGAAGGTGGTACAAGCCTGTACTGTTCTTCAGTGCTACAGATTTCTTAGCCAAGTTTGGGCAAGTCTGTCTACAAAACAGAGCTAATGATAGTGCCTCACCAGGTCTAGTGTCAGTCTTCCCACTAAGGATATTGTGCACTCCTTTTCATTAATGGTTCTGGTACTTGCCAAGATCTCAGCTGAATGTACTTCTCCAGTGAGAAGTGTATTACCAGACTCTCTCACTGTCTGTAGGTTTGAAAATGTAGATCTGTTTCTTCATTGAAAATGCTGTAATACTTCTAATGACATCAAGCTATTGGATCTAATATGTCTTCCATTTTAAAGGCTGGCCCCACTAGACCTAATAATACTTTCAAAGACTGAGTACAGTTCAAGCTTGTGACAATGAGTGGCAGTTGTAGCACATCTAATAACTTGTAATAACACCAAGTAAAATACTTAGTCATGCACTCATTAAGAACACTGCAATGTATGCTTTAGCAAGTCCACTACTGTAAGGAAAAACAACTGAGTGCAGCTGGATACATTTTATCCATAAATTGCTCTTTAAAGCTGTTCTTGTATTGTGATGGTTGTGAAGGCTAGCTGTGAGGACTAAAGAAGGCTGAAAATAGTTGAATCTTTTAACTTTCTAAGTTCTAGGCAGTTTGCTTAGTGGTGTGTTTGGGTGGGTGGGCAGTATGTACCTGTTGTGGTTTAACCCCAGCTGGTAACTAAGCACCACGCAGCCGCTCACTCACTACCCTTCCCCCGTGGCATGGGGGAGAGAATAGGGGAAAAGACGTAAAGCTCGTGGGTTGAGATAAGAATGGTTGAATAGAATAGAAAAAGAAGAAACTAATAATGATAATGATAACACTAATAAAATGACAACAGTAGTAATAAAAGGACTGGAATGTACAAATGATGCGCAGGGCAATTGCTCACCACCCGCCGACCGACACCCAGCCAGTCCCCGAGCGGCGAATCCCTCCCCCCCCCACTTCCCAGTTCCTAAACTAGATGGGACGTCCCATGGTATGGAATACACCGTTGGCCAGTTTGGGTCAGGTGCCCTGGCTGTGTCCTGTGCCAACTTCTTGTGCCCCTCCAGCCTTCTTGCTGGCTGGGCATGAGAAGCTGAAAAATCCTTGACTCTAGTCTAAACACTACTGAGCAACAACTGAAAACATCAGTGTTATCAACATTCTTCTCATACTGAACTCAAAACACAGCACTGTACCAGCTACTAGGAAGACAATTAACTCTATCCCAGCTGAAACCAGGACAGTACCTAAAAATATGTAAATAAAAGACTGATCCACATGAATTCACATGGCAGATTCCATGCCATTCAGGGGAATAAGAAATCCTCTCAGTATATTCCTGACTATCTGAATGGGTATCCTAAATGCTCAGAGAGATTTTTATCTGTTATTGAAATAATGAGATGTTGAACACAGTGTACTGTAGTTTGCTGTTAATTACATGGAATTTGCTATACTGCATTGAAGATTTTTTTTTTATTGTGATGCAATCTCTTGCACAGCAGGGATAAACTGACTTTTAAATAGTTCATAAAATATTCACTTAACATACCTATGTACAACAATAACAGAAAAATCACCCTGTTTTACCTCCCCTTCTCGGATGACAATGTCTTTTTGTTTCCCATTTTCAATTATCTTCAAACACATATCTCCTTTAACCTGGTAAAACAGCTGAAGGAATAGGAAAATAACATTAAGGCAACTACTCCAAAACATTCTGTACTTCATATTCTGTATATAAAGGATACATGTATAAATACATTCAATCTGTAATTGCAAATATTTACATATTTTTTCTAACAATAAATGACTTCCAACCTTTGTTGCTTTTGAAAGCATTACTAAATATATATTATTTCCATTATCTTACATGCATTTGACAGTCTAAGAGGTCTATAACTGCTTTTAGAGCTATTCTGTGAACCCAGTGGACTTCCGTCGCACTGTCTTTACTCCTTTGTAGGTTGGGACGTTATGGTTTAGACATCTGTTAATTACATTGTATATAAAGCTTCATTTCAGATGTAGCAGGGTCTTCACTATTGTATTCAGTCAAACTAAATATCACTTTTCCAAATAAGCTCCAAATAAGCTCACAAGTTTTTTGGGTGCATGTTTTCTTTTTTTCTTTTTTTTTTTATGAAGCTTTCTCATTTGGGAATAATTGCCCATTTGGAAGCTGTTCTGCTTTATTTCTGTGGATACCCTCAAAGTCCAGCAACAGCTGATCCTCTTCCTACTGTGCATGTAAATGTAAAAGGATTACATTTGAAGCGTGTATAAGGACAGAACCACTGAACCCATAATTCTGTCCTCAGTGACCTTTCCACAAGTCTGTTTTCAGAGTAGCTTTGGGGGAGCTCTGAGGTGCGCAGACCTAGCCTCATGTTTTATGGCAGAACTGTGCTATGATCTGTAAGCAGGTCTCTTTGACCTAGAATAATGGGCACATTGTTCCTCATTTTCTATAATACAGAGCAATAATACTTCCAAAAGTCAACTTTTCCACCATTCTCTGCCAAGCTTCTATATGCTTTCCATGTTCTGTTTGCCATACCTAGAAACCAAAGAGATTAATTCATATAATTGCTAGTGTAGGTGAAATTGAAACCTGATTAAAAGTTAGAAGTATAGTGAAAATAATTTTATTTATAGTAATTCACTACAATTTTGGCAAAATGGAAAATAAATAGGGGAAAGAAGAAACCACGGAAGTATATAACGCCCCCACCACCACTTAACCTTTACCAACATTAGAAGAGCTTAATCAATTTTTTTAGTCAGGATTATTTCCAAAAGAGTTTTGAAATATTAATTCAAGCCCTGAGAATTCAAGAAACACCTCTATGAACTTAACAAAGAATAAATATGCTGCCAAGGGAATGAAACAGTAGAGACAACTGAAGATGTACTGGAAAAGTGCTCATGCTGAGAGCTCTTATATGAGTGAAAAGTTCACCTTATGCCAGACACATCACAATGGGTAAATTATAACTCTTGTCTAGATGGCCACAGTGCCATGCTACTTATCCTCCTTGCACTCCATCTCCCCAGGTTCTTTTCCTGTCATTTTCTTTGGTGCTACTGAATGACTGTAAAAAATGCTATAGTAGCCCCCGTTACAGAGCACGCTGGGCAGGGCTAACTGCTCATTGTACAACATAAAGTGATTTGAGTGGGGAAATGATCTCTCCTTCATTTCAAAAAAGACTCATCTAGGACCGTAAGATCCTGATGGATTATCACACAGGCCATTGGCAATATGGCACTGGTAATGCTGAAATGGAAAGATCCTTCTTGAAATGTTGAGCTTTGGAGTGTTACCTTCCCTATAACTACTGAGGGAGCCATTACTGAACACACGCACAGGATATGTAGATGAAGGGAAGGACAACAGAGGCAGAATTTTATTCTGCTTGTGACCATGAATCATGCAGCTAAGCAAACTTTCTGGTCATGAAAGACTGGAGAGGGGAAAGGGGCCATCCAGTTCAGTAGGTGAGCATCACAGTCATAAGGAAAGATTTTGAACGCTGTATTTTGAATTAAAAGAATTGTTTTGCAATGGGGAAGGAGGAACAAGGTGGGCTACACAGTGTCAATAAAAGTGTTTTTCTGACTGAATTTAAATAGTACCTTTCACTGCAAATTATGGTCTATTCTTCAAAACTTTTTTTTGAAAATGTCTGAGTGCTTCAGTCATCCATAAATCATCTGATATAACTGTGATTAATACAAGTGGCAGTAATTACTAAATCTACTGCTGTGCTTATATTATACCCTGAACTTTTATCAAGAAAACTATCAACTGTTTAATATCTCAGTGGGTTACAGTCCATGCCCATTTCACAGGACAGTTTGGCAATACAGTATTGTACTGTCTTTTTGCTAGAATGTTTGGGGTTTTTTTATAAATACTGACTGAGCTTTGCCTTCTGGGAAAATCTAACCTTTCCCTAAGTATCTCCTGGAAAAATCAAGGCCTGAGTAAGGAGGTACTGGGGTGTCTGTGGGTGTGTGCACCCACTTATATATATGTATGTATATACACAAATATGTATGCATATACACAAATATGTATGCATATAGATAGATGGTAAGTCAGTAGAGTTCATGCCACCTGAAAATATAAGCTTTCCTAATTGGTCTGTTTTTACTGGGATAATCTGGTATCCATTCTCCACAGTAGTACTGAAAACTGAGGAAATGTGCAACATTTTCACTCTATTAGCATCTTATTAATGACAAGAACTCGTTACATGTAATATATCTATATCTATATCTCCTTCCAGAGAAGCCTAGCTTTGTACACTGCTACTGCATAATAGGTCAAAATCGGACATGGATTTGTCTTTCTGGGTGAAAAATGTGGCTCAAGGAAGAAACAAAGGTTGTTCATGTGTCTTTTTATCCCTTTTGTTACTAAACGTGCTTATTTATTTTTTTTTTTATACCTCCTTCTTTTCTTCCTTTCATTTTGCAGACTTCTGCCTTTTGTTTAGCTTTCTTGCTTACTATGTGGCATCTTCTTGTTATGATTACACTAAAAACACTTCCTCTTATTGTTTCTCACCTTGCCTCTAGAAGTTATGAGCCACCTAGAAGGCATTCTTTACCCTAAGCATAACTTTTTTTCATAACATTGCTCAATATGATCATTAAAACTGCAGTTATACCTATGAAAACTAAACTGAAAGGCCCTTAATATTGAGAGGGTTTTTTTGACTCATTTAATTTTCCTTAAATTCTCTTTACTGTAGGAGAATTACATCCTCCTTCCTTAGTCTGCTTCACCCTTCCTGAGCATGCTTCAAACCTGGTAGTATTGTGTTAAGCTGCAGTGAAAGGCAGCATGACCAGTGCTGAATCATTGTCAAGACTGCAAACGGGTATTTCACTCGGTTATGAAGACTCATAAAATAAATTATGCAGACATTTCTGGAGACAATAGGTGGAGATGCAGAGAGGTTGCCTTCAGTGGAAGCATTACTGAAGCTGCTTGTCTTGGTAGGAATTAATTTCAACAGGGTAGTAGAAAGTGTGGATACTACCTTAAAAAGAGCACTATCATCCCCACCATATTCACGTGGTGAGAATTGTGTTGCTGCTTCATCCAAGTATGTGTATCCTAGCAGAGTAAAGAAGGAAGCATGTAGCAGGGGAGGAACACAGTGTTTCTAATTGGTTTGTACAGGCCAATTAAAAAACAAGTCTATTTTATATTATGTACAACAATGTATGTAATCTAATTTAGATTCACCTTTGATATCAAACTCTGCCTAGATGTAGGAGCCCAGAGCTCTGTGAGGGCTTTTGTAGCTGAGAGCTTATTCATAGACCTGTAAAGATACCTGCAATTTGCAGTGTACTTTGAGTGCTGACTGCTTCTGAAAGTGGAATTTGGGATTGCTCAGCTACTTCTGGGATTAGGCCCTGACTTGGCATACCCTGGCTTGTACTGCTTGTCAGATTGCTAAGCACTAAATTAATTTGCAGAGCAAATCAAATTCTGACGTGGGAGTAGAGCCTGGGTGTTTTCCAGACTTCAGTGGTGACTGATGTATTTGAGCACAGAAAAACAATTTTCTCCCTCTCTCATCACAAGGCTTTTCAGCCATCAGAAGTCTGGAAGGCAAACAGATGAGGAAGGTAGAGAAAATGATGTTGTGGTGTTTTGATTTTTTTTTACTCTGCTCATTTACATGTCATCTGTGAAACCTGAATACTACCCCAAACTCATCCCAACAATTTTATGCAGCAAACTTATTTCTGAAGACACGATCTCTTTCTGATGCAAAAGGATCATCTCTCTTATTACTTCGTAATAGGATCTTTGTTTCTTAGTAAAATATTCAAGGAGTTTCCACCAGATGAATGGGGGGGGGTTAAATGTAAATAAGCAAAAAGATTTGTCTTGCTTTGTTGCAGCTCACGTTCTCAGTTTTATTTGGGAGATAAGCACCACAAAACTAGCTACTGGAATGCTCACATAGCCCCTTTCCCCTCCTTCTTAGGCATCCATATCCCCATACAATGCAAAGGGAGAACTGAGCTGCTAGGGAAGAGTTTCTCAAAAGCATGCTGACTAGAGAGCAGCATACGCTATAAGAAGGGGTCAGGCTTCATTTAAGCAGGTAATTTGTCAGAAACTGGAGTCAAGTCTTACTTGTGGTGTGTGTGTGAGGGGGAGAAAAAGAGAAATTGAACTCAGGTTAGAAAACTCAGATGAGCTGCGGCAGACAAGACCAAATCTGTATCATGTTTCAGAGCAAGATGTTGCTATATCTCAATCAGGCCATGTAAATATGCTAGGAGAAGCTGAAGAGATTGGCCAAGATGATCAAAGGAGAGGGAATTTCTGTTCTGAGAGTCCTCTTTAGGACTGCAGCGTAAGGGCTCTGATCTGTGGGGCTGCATCAGTACTTAGGTGGCTCTATCCATAGGAAATAACCTAGATGCTGAGTGCAGAAACTTAGGGTAAAATACGCACAGCACAGTGAGAAGCAGGGCTTTTAGAACCAAGCAGAATATTATGCCAATGCAAATGTGTTGCAGGTGGTAGATGAAAGGCTGATTTGAATTTCTCTGCATGGAACTGCACTGTTTTATGTAGACACAACATCAGAATATAAATTGTTAAGAAATCAAAGTCAGCTAGCGGAGATTCATTGTGTTTAAGTGGTGGTCTGAAGTGGGTAAAGAGACAGGAGCTGAACTACTTTTGTGATCCTAGATTTAGCTGTTAGCATATCTCACTTGCCCCCAAAGCAGCCCACATGATGCAGTAAATAAAATCTGAAATTCTTTTACTATAGCTAAGCTTTGTTATTATGGGTTTTGTCTGTCATTAACTTCCTCCAAAATATACAGTTCCCTTCAGTTTTCACTTACCTTATTTCTTTGGAAGTTATATAATGAATTTATAAGATAAGATTAGAAGGGTTTTTTCCCCCTCAGGCTTTGCAAGTAAGCAAAAATGCAGTAAATACACCATGAAGTCCGTGAACTGTGTAAGCGCCGAAACTCTTCTTGTCACAAATACTACTGTATGATGAAAAGTTCAAGACACAAAGGTATGTCAAGGACTGTTCCCTGGTACCTGGGATGCACCTGCTATCCCATAGCCGTGAGGGGTTGAGCATCATGTCAGGACCACCACAGAAGCTTTCACTGGTCTCATCAAGTTGACTACACAAGACTAGTAGTTACTAGTCCATGTAATCCAAAGCTCTCTTGACAAAACTAGCTATATAGCACAAACACTTTCATTTCAGTGCATATTAAGAAAGTTTTGTCCATATAGCTATAAAGGTGCATTCTCACAGCAGGTTTTTTGCCATGTTTCAACAGAAGATGCATTTCCCAAAGCAATGCAGTTTCATTTTAGAATGAGTCTGATTTAGAGGCAGAGAACGTCCAAGTAAATGTTTGTTGACTGCATCTCTGTCCTGATGGAGAAGGGAGCAAGGGGGAACTTAACATTTACAAATAGGAAAAAGAATGACTATGACATAGTGGTAAAGTCAAGCCAAAGGATGTGAATGGTTTATCTCTGGTAAAGTGCAGCTTGATTTGGCTCCTTATAAAACCTGTCCAGTGGAAAACAATGTCTCAGGTATGAGGCAGTACTTCTGTGCAGAAGGATGGCAAATAAGTAGTGCATAGAAAATTAAGATGGAAATGAAGCAGTAGAGACAAAACTAAGAAGGAAGAAAATTTTGAGTTACATATTTAGGAAACTCCTGCTTGTTGAGAGGAGGAAAAAAATTGTGCGAGACTAGCTGTCGTTTTAGCATAAATGACTGTTCAGGAGACGATCCTAAAAAGTTTTGAAGAGAGTCCAAATCAAGCCTCCGTTTTTTCTCATAATTAGCCAGTCAGAACTGATCTTCCCGATACACCTGCACATTAACAGCGCCAACAGAGAACAGCTCAGGAGCAGAAGGATGCTCCTAAGCCCTTATCTCTGCATGTGAACCCCTTGCTGCTGTGAACTGCAGGCTGACAAGCACAAGTTGTGCCACAGGACATACTGTAAGCCGGGTGATAACAGGCATGCAATAATGAGTGAACAGATATAAACAATCCTAAATTTAATTTTCTTTTCTAAACCAACACTTCTTTGCTATCAGAATAATACAGTAGAATAGCATCAGCTAAATTTGCATAAAGGATTTATGGGGTTTTACATTCATGATTTGGCCTGTTAACAGTAGGCCTATATAGTTTATTTTTCAAATTATCACTCAGAACTATAAATGACCTTTTGCCTGCCAAAATAATGAGCTGAACATGGTTTTAAATGTTTTTTTTTTTTTAATCCCAAGTCTAATTTAGGACTATGACCTTTTACTAGGATACTCTCTGCCTCATAATTCTTCTCTAATGAAAAACATGGATCTAAATTAGATCACAGGAAGGTGCAAATGTGTCTGATAAAAAGCTATGGTAAAATGCAGTCTATGACTATATTGTACCTCCATAAAACGGGACAAAATTGGCCCATATGTTAAACTGATAAGTAAGTGATAACGCTTCTGATGTGTATATTGCCAATTTACTATCGGATAGGAATTTTATGTTTCCATTTTTGGTTGCTGAGTAATTGTGGGAAATTTGCTAATGAGCAAATAATCCATGTAAATGAGGATGTACTGATACCTAAAAAATCTTGTAGCCAGTTGAATTAGTAATAATTTACTATACTGGTGCATACTGATGTAAGTTATGCCTTTACAGATACGGCTAACTTTCTATACTGTTGGAAAGTCATATAATGGGTTTAGGCTTATTAAAGGCAGGCCAAATTCTTTTCAAATACAGGAAAATCTTGAAAAAAAAAAAAAGAGACAAATTATCTAACTTTCATTTTGATGGAAGGGGAGGAGGAGATACATTTTAAAAAAAATGAAACAGCACAGGAATGGGTTGGGGACCAAGGATAATCCATTATGAACTGGGAGATGCAGGGAGAGGCAAGATTGTAAGGAACAGAAAAAAAAATACAATATGTTTTATATTGTAGTGCAGGCTATTGTACCGGTTAAACTTCAGCTCATTTTTGTGTGTTCCTCTCTTAGTGTATAGCTCTAATGTATTCTTCAGAGCAAGAAAATAAATTAATTGTATAAAACCAAAAAGGTTAAGTTGCAGAAAAAATGATACGGAATTGTTAACTTCCATATGTACCTTCGTTTTATGCTTTGCCAAACCTTGATGTCATTAACCTCGATAAGAAAATTCACTCACTCTTTTTTAATCTAACATATAATACTCAACAATAAACCATAACAGCAGCGTAGAGATTAGCTATTCTTGTCAGTGCTTTCTGAGCAGTCATCCTACAGATGCGATTGCTCCACATTTTGTTTTCCCCAGCTAAGTATCTCTGGAATTTTCTTGTAAATAGATGATGGATGCTAAATTCTCCTGGTTAGCAACAATCACTTCACACGCGCTGCCCTGGGACCTGGATTGCCTCCTTCCCAGCCCAAGCAACCTGATGGCATGGTCCTGGCCGTTGCCAGAGCTCCCCCTGCGTGGCCGCTGAGAAGGGACATCATGGCACCTGTTGGGTAACCTGGTAGGTGACAGACATGCCTGTGCCCACAGCCATGGGTGGGCTGTGAGGCTGTGGTGGCAATCCAAAGCAGGCAGGAGTCAGACAGTGAGAAGGTAGCATCCACGCTTTCAGAGTGGTGCGGTTATGATGACTACAAACACCTGCACAGCACAATTATAACAGAGAGTTAATGAAGGCTGTTATGAAATGGTTGGGTTGGTTTTGTGAGAAATGATTCAATGGTAAGCAAACGCAAATTTTTGTTTCTTTTTAAAAGGATTTATCGAACTTGACTCACTTCTGCCTTGAACTATGTAGATGCTTAGGCTTGGGTTTCCAAAGGTACTTAAAATTAGGTGGCCAAGTTTTACTGGAATTCCCTGAAATTAAATTACTCTGCTGGGAAGCAAGGCAAATTGTCTCCCATCCTGAAATCCTTAGTGGCAGGCCTCTAGTGTCCCCTTTCCCTTAGTGTTCCTTCAGAGCCATTTGTGATACCTCTGACTCAGAGGAGTCCTCAGGCCAAGCAGACTATTCCAGGAAAAAGGCAGTTAACAAAGTAGGTGTAAGCTGTTACAATTTTGATAGGTTTCTACTCTTTCTTCCTATATTCTGCATTTGGCACAATGGCTAGTCACAACTCAAAGCGGTGGGATGGCTTTCTTTTGATACAGAAGATGTGCAGCAAAGGGGACTGATTTGAAAAATGTTTAGAGACTCTATTCTTCAACCTTCCAAACCTGAATGAAAGCTGAAAATGCTGATGTTTTTCACAAAGTTCAGAAAAATATAATTTCAAACCAATCAAAATAATTTATTTTTATTTTGGAATTTCAAGTTACTTTTGAAATATAGACCGATCTTCTGCAACAAAGTATCACTTTAAAAATATCATTACCTTTCCAAAGTTTTGTTCCAAAATGTTGAAATGAGACATTTTAATGTGTCAGAACATTTTATCTAGTTTCCCCTTGGAAATGATTTATAGCTAAATAGATCTGATCTCATGTGTTTGTTTCAAAGGAAATGCACAGATGGTGTATGGTTCTGGTGAATGATTCTGTTTAAGTCTTTGAATAGATCTAATAAATACAACATCACAAGCCTGGCATTGCTGATGTGTAGCTTCAAAAGTAGCTGCATTTTAATCATTATAGATCAATTAAAGCAGCAAAATATACATAGCCTATAGGTTACCTCTTCTCCTTCTTCAATATGATAATCCTTCCTTTCATTTGGCCCTCCAACAAACATCACATTTAATTGATGGCGATGCCTAGAAAAGAAAGTGACATTTTAAAGCTACCTCCACTCATGATGTTCTTTATTTCATGTAAGTTTTTTTTAATTCTTTGAGGACAGTGAGTCAATGAAACAATGCTGAGTGACAAGCAACATCCAGAAAGAGAACTCAAAAGACCTCGGATGCATCTCTCTGCTCTGCCACTGTCTTGCGGGGTGACCTGAGGCCAGCTACCTCCCTTCTGGTGTTTCAGTGCCTCCAGCTATGAAAAGGGGACATCGATAGTTACCAACTGTGGAAAGAGCTTTGAACTGTAAAGATAAAGAATGCTACATAAGAGACAGGAACGACAGGAAAATGTCTTTTCAACCTGAACCGATTAGATCAGGATTCTGTAAAGGTAAAACACTTTTAAAGGTCAATAAAGGTAAAAACGTACTTTTCTAGCCATTGGTAGAATTACGGGGGATACTGATGGTAGGAATTATCAGCTAATTTCTCTTCTATTTATACTGGTTTTGCTAAAGTGGAACAACATTACAATGGTTTCATTGTGGTTGTGGCTAAGCAGAAAAGGAGATTCAGGCCCTTAATCTTAACTTGCCCCTTCTAAGAGCCCCAATGAGCACTTCTCTCAGCTGTCACAAAGAATAGATATCACCCCAATTATCTATCAGTCCACTTACACTAATAAAGAGGTAAGGTAGCAGGTTTTCATTTGCTAAAAACCCCTATAAATTAGGCCTGTTAGCTGTGATTCAGAATTTGTTCTTAAGCTCTTTTTGACATGTGAACTGAGGTGTTTTGACCTCAGCTTTTTAGTGAGGAGATTCTGGGCAATACTAGGGCTAACAGGAGAGCCTAGTAACACAGAACCAGCAGAGCAACGCTCCCCTGCAACACGGGGAAGAATGATGTGCCTCTCTGTCAGCACCTCTTAAGCCTGAATTTGAGAGACGCTTGTTTTGAATGGCTGAGCATATCTATTTGATCTGCCACCATTACCATGTTTACTCTGAAGAGTATTTAAATGAAAATGAACAACACAGTACGGACTAGTAAAGCAGAAATAACAAGTAACAGTGACAAATTAGTTGGTCAAATAAAAGTCTAAAGAATTAAATTAAATTACAATTCTTAAATTGACTGTTTTCACCATAGGAACCTGTACACATTATAGCACTTGGCTTTATGCCCGTATCCTGAAATAAGGAACCGAAATCAGAACTGTTTGTACCATGCAGATTTAATATTTGTTTTCAAGAATGCACTAAAATACTTCTGCATTAATGAACACGTCTACTGAAGAAGGGCAGGAAAACTGAAACAGTAACAACACAGCTAATAAATAATTAAATAAATTAAAATCAACCCTGGAGAATAAAATAAGAGAAAGACAATCTATGGGTATCTTGTAGTCTGCTGTAAAGATAATTTTTTTATCAAAACCCATACAATTTCATTATTAGTTCAATAACTAAAAGTGAAAATACTGCTCTAAAAATCATTGTTGCTCAAGTTTTTGTTTGGCAAATCTACCATTAATTCCGTTACCCTATGGATTTAGCTAGGTTTTACATAATAAACAGGCAACTATGGGTTAATCATTCCTGTCATTAACAATTATATAATGACACCATCAAAAAAATCCAGCTATGAAATACAAGCAGGAACTCCAATAGGTTTGTTTGTCCATATTGCTAAATAAAACTGTCTGGTTAATATAATTGCATTAAGAAGAAAAATCATAAGGAAGGAAAGCAGTTTCAGCTAAGACTGCCAAAATGCAGTTAGAGCATCGTAAAGGTTTCAGGGGTGTGAAAATTACTCGATCGCACTATTTTTAGAATAAGGTGCTAATCAATGGCCTATTTAGTTTCATATACTCATATATTTCTCCTCTTAACCACATAAAGAAAATGGTACCAGCAGGTACCAGTAGCACCAGGAGCAGCAGGTGGTGAGACTCAATCTGCACAGTAGATGGCTTTCCTCTCCTTCTTCATAAGCTGAAGCTACATTGGAAAAATGGCTTTTTTTTTTTAATCTATGCAATTTTTATCACAAAAAAATGTTCCTTCTCTCACTGTGGCTTGTTATAATGTTTATAGGGAAGACCTCTGATAGATGTCACATTCTAGAGTTACTTCAGAACTGCAGGTATATGGTACAGAACAAACAGTGCGGTAATAACAAAAAGGTTCTTACTGATGAGGAAAGAAAACCATGACTATTTCATATACGTAAAGTACTAAAATTTTACCACCATCACTGGCAAGCTTTAGAAATGGATACGCTTTACAAAATGCTTCCTAAAACCATTTTGAAAATGAAAGAAATGCAAACACTCCTAAGACGACACTTTTCTCATTCTCTCCCACTGTGAAACTATTGTAGTGATTCAAGTTTCATAATTTTTCAGTTAAACATACAATTGTAGTTTCAACACAGACATCTCAGGAAGGATGTGCCTTTTACCTTATCTTTGTCTTGCAACCATTACTTTGAAAAGTAATCCTTGCACCTGTGAATGGAAATTAATATCACTGCTACAGTACTGCCCATTCAGCTTTTGATTAGAGGTAGCACTTCAGGGTAGGGCAAGAAGCATATTCTTTGATGCTTTTTTTTAATGATTAAAATTGTAATGCAAGATTTTTTTTTTAAATTAAAAGCAAGAAAAAATGGTTTTTATTTTCTTTATAAAACCTGGGTTTATATCTCCTTTCTTATGAAAGCCTTCTGTATAGAGAGTTTTGGACAAAATATATTATCCTCAACTTCACTGACAAAACAAATCCTTGCTAACTTTGTGACTAGAAGGTGCCACACGTTGGATTATTTACACTGGAATTTGTTCATGAGCTTTGACACTGAGAATATGCACGCTGTACAACTGCATAATGCCCCCACTTTTTTTCTTTTATTAGCTGTCTCATTCAAATATGGTTCATAGCTTTAAGCTGCCTCTTCAGCCTCCCTACCCTGCCTTGACAGCTCTGGAAATGCCCTGGAAACCTACTCCTCCAGTGCCCCTGCCCTTCCTTTCACATTATCTTTCAGTGATATGTCCCACCGGTTTTGATTGCTCCTGCAGCTTTGGCTCCTCTGCAATGTTGGAATGAACCTCAGCAGCTCTAGCAGCTGTTCCAGGCTGTAATTCGGTAGCACTAATCTGTTAGCTAAATCTTATCATTTCTGAATGTGATGCCATCTCCTCTGATTTCTACAAGTTTATCGTCACAGGGCCTGACACAAATTCCCTGAACTCAGTCTAACTGCCTACAAGAGACTTTGAGTTGAGGCAAATATCTTATATTCAAGTTGATCTTTACAGCTCTTGCTGAGTTACTGGAAAACAGATTTCAGTCACTTTCTGTTCTTTGAAACAGCACTCTGACTGACTGCAGTCTGAAAGGAACTACAGTTCCTTACTAATCTTCACCATGTATGCATTTTAGCAGCTTCCTCTTATAGCTAGGAATATTTATATACCTAAGAACTGGGTAAAAAAAAAAAAAATCTTCATTTACTTACATAAGCTTATTGCACACAGGTGGCAAAAAGGCAGTTTTGTTTTCTTCTATCCATTTTCTTACATTTACAAGAAGCTCCATGGTCCACCAGCTAGGAAAATTTTGACGGAGATACTAGAGTTTGCAGAGAGCTCTTTCCGTGACCAAACTGCATGTGGTTCCATCCCCAGAGCTCAGAGGATTGGTTGGTAGAAGAGGTGTCTTCAGGCTTCAGTGTCAAAGGGTCATCAAGGTCCATCAGCCAAAGGTTACTTTGTAAAGAGTACTAATGCTCCAGCAGCTTAGCTAATAATTGACTAGTGTTTTTAAAATATATATTTTCATCAGAGACTGATTCTGCCTACAGGAGGTGTCTTAATTCTCTTTACTGCATCAACTGGAGTGTGTGTTTCCTCTTTACAAAAATTGCCTTGTTACATACACAAACTGAAAGTTAGGAAAATGGGCATGACTTGGGCATCCACACCCTGCAAGTCTAATATAGAAACAGATTTCAAAGCTAAATGCAAATTGAGAGCAGTTGCTCAAAGTTTAGTTACATGTAATATACAAAAAGTATTTTTATACATGCATAACCATATATAGATATTTCAGGCTTGATAGTAGAGCCCCATTTTCTTTTCACCACCTCCCTTCAACCTTCTTAGGCTGAATGTTTGGGGGAGTGTGTTTGAAAATATTGGGGTCGTCTTCTGCCAAATAACAAAAATAAAGAGATCTCTTGCATTTGTAAAACCAAAAACAGCTACCCATAAATGCTCATTTCTAATTTGATCCTCTCTTTGCAATGTTGCAGCGGGCCTTGTTGGAGAGCTGAACCTGGTTCTGTGATGCCCTTTGGGAAAGTGCAGCATACTGTCACCAAATTATCAGGCAAACAAGAAACTGAAAACTGCCAGGCATTCCAGACCTGTATTAGTCTTTATTCCTTCACTAGTTTCTGTTCAATGTAGTTCCTACGGGATTGCTCACTCTGTTCCCTGCCACCCCCATTTTTTAATAAGCAAATGTATAAACATTTATTTTCAGACTTGAAATACATGAAATGGGTAGTAAACAAAAAAACCCAAGACATTATAAAATGTTGGCACTTTTCAGTTGCTCTTGCCATCGCTTAGTCTTCTGATTGTATCTACACTGTGCTTAGTGGGTGAATGTGTATGGGTATAAGGTTATAATATGATTTGTTTAAAAGTGAGTGTTACATGCTCCATGGCTTGCGCGTATGAGCAGTCCAGCAGCTGCTGGACTGAAGAGTCAGCATGCTGGAACAGTACAAATTTGGGAGTTCTTTACCTTATACCATTACAATTTTCCAATGGAAAAAAGGAATGGAGTGTGAGTTTTAACTAATACCAATGTTCTTATTCCAGTATGTGTAAGGGTGATTCTGTTTTACCTTCATCTCTATCACTTCCTTGCAGTTTAGTTTAAACTAATTACATAATTGATCAAAAAACCCCCATTTATTTTGGGATAACAAGATCCACCTGTGGATTACAGCTCTGCTGTATTAGTACAATCACAATGGGACTGGCAATAATTTCCTCTGAAATAAGCCCAAAGGAATTATTATTTCACTCAATTATAGAAACACCCTCCCCACCGCCCATTATTTATTTAGCACATGAAATTTCTACTATCAGAATGGCTGTGGTGAGACACCGGTGCATAGCAAAGTCATTAGGCCTGTTTTTGGACCTAGAGACAGGAACACTTCAGTGCTTTTTGTACTGTAGGCTGCTGGAACACTATTCAGCCGCAAAGGAAAGAGATCTTCTATTTAACATGCACTTTCACTTAGAGGATTGTGACCCAGCCTGGCAGGACCAGGAGAACTGAAGACACTCTGTTTTAATGACCATGATTTTGTAAAGCTCTACCTCATCATTAGTAACATGCATTGCAGAGCAGGACTCCATTTATTGGGCATGAAAACCAAGAGATTGTACAAAGCCACAGTAGGAAAAAACACAGATCGTGGAAATGATAGAGCCAAGACTTACTCACCACAATATTCATGTGCCGGTTTTAACTGCAAGGCTATTGTCTGCAACCCCTACCCTAATCCCTAGTCTCCACTTTTTTTCCACGAGGCAGAATACAAGGTACTATTACCTGCAGAGAAAACGATCTGTTGCATGGTGATAAATCCACTCTGTGGCTAGAGTGAGGTATGAAAACCCGATAGCTAGACCTACTCAGGGAGGAAACAAATGAAGTTCACTTATAAAATTCACCATTAGTATGAAGCTGAGGTTATTATCACAGGGTAGCATTTTCTGCTACCTTCTGTAACCAAGAGGTTTTGAAAAATGCAGTTAATGGCCTCTCCATGTGTATAACAGGTATAAGGGAACATTGGGATTTTGTTGTTTAGGTTTTTTTGAGGAGGGCTAAGAAATGGTCTGCAAGGCCTGGAAGTACTGGGCCATGAAACTTGATTTCTGTGAATTGTATTGGAGAGGCAAAGAAAAGAGCCAGCGTTACAAGTCTCCATAAGACTCAAGTAAATACATATGCCTCGTGACCTGATAGAGGCCTGGATTTTTCTTGCTAATCTGCTTCACAGTGACTCTTCACATCCATCGAAGCCTGTTCTAGCAGCTGGGGTTTCTGCTCTCACTTTTGGCTCAGATCCTTCCCTTTATGCAAAGGTAAGGACTCGATTTGTCAGCTTTTGCTGCCAGAGAAGCACAAGACTACTGAAGCACAGAACTGCTACACAAAAATAATCCATCTTTTGTATTAAGGGTACATGAAAAAAGTGGTAGTAGAAAAAACTGAGTTTAGGACAGCACCTACTCTATTTTTCTACTTTCCTCAACCACCAGACCTATTAGAGACTTAAATTTACTAGCTGGTGTCCAGCAAGCAGGATATGTTAACAAAAAGCACATAAGCTAAATATTGTGTTTCTAGTTAGAAGAGGTATTCAGGTTTGTTGGCCAGGATTTTTATCTGTATTAAAGTGATATTTGGTCACTTTTCCATTACTCCCTGTATTATTTTTATTTTTTTACCTAAAGAACTGATGATAAAGACCAAGAATGGCTTAGAGCCCCTGGGAAGGGGAGAGGGAAACGGACCATAAAGCCAGCAAGTATGGATGCTGCCTGCTCCGCTCTGCCCATTTTACTCTTGAAAGCAAACAGCATTGTGAAAATTGGCTCTTAAGCTTTGTTTTTTTCATACTTAGTGCTAAGAAGTATTCTGAAAAATCTTCACCAGGGGAGGTTTGCATTCACCAGCAATTTGAGTACAAAATCCTTTTAGTATCATTTCAACTTTGCCTTTCTGTCCCTGTGCAATACAGAGACTGATTTATCTTACCCGGTTGTTAAAATAATGGAGCTACACTGAAGTGATAATCTGGAGGTTCTGCAAGCAGAAGGAAGCAAGTAACTTTCTGCACCATTAGGACAGCTTTAACTTCTTCTTTTTATCTTTTTTTTTTTTTTTTAATATTATGAAGAAATGTAAAAAGGAAGACCTAGATATGACTAAATAATCCGTTTCACCCAGCTGAACATGCTTCCTATTTTTGGTCAATTCTGTGCTGCTTCTGTTTGTTCTTTGAGAACAAATACAAAGGAAGTACTTCTTTAAAAAATGAAAAATTATTTATATTAAAAAGCCCTATATAGTTGCTGAAAACAAAAATTCAAATTGGTAACAAGCCTACTACTTGAACCCAAGTACAGTTATGTTCCTACAAACTAATTCACATGGCCAAATTTCACTGATACAAACATACTATCAAGAGCCTCAGTCTCTGTGGGGACAAACATAAGAAGCAAGTGAATCACATAGCACAGTAGAAAAGTTAAAGATCCCACGAAAACTACTAGAATCTTCACTGTTATCACTGTTACTTTTATGGTGAGGATGAGTAAAATAAAACGCGCAGTGATTATCATCTCTATAAACACCAAAATTAGACTGACTGAGTCCTCACTCTTGGCTGAGTCTAAGGTTAAATCTGCAATAAAGAGCTTGTCCGTGTATTTACAGCTTCAGCTTTGATTCTTCCTGACATTCTTGTATTTGCCAAAAAAGTGCTTGTTTGGATGAAATTATGTTCACCGCAATCTTTGCGTGGTATAGAATATTTAATTTTCTAGTGTAATGATGCACTGCTAAGGGTAATGAAGGCAGCTGATGTTTTCTGGTATGCCAACTAAACCTATGTGATGATGGGAAATTTCTCTAAGAAACGAACTGTCGGTTTTCTCTTTTTCTCCATGCCAGCCACCTTCATCAGTGGTCAGATACAGCAATCGCATGTTGCTTTACCTGTCAATGGTGTATACCACTGAAACACATTCTAAATAATGCCCACAGTAATAGTACCAACAGCAGAACAACTTTCTTGACAAGCAAGAAGCACCTTGTCTCCATTCAAAACAGTCTCAAAAAGTTTCAGCTCATTTATGGATCAGAGGTGGGTGGAGGAGGTAATGAAGTCACACGTAACTGCCACTCAATCTGCCAAAAGCAGTTGGGAGATCAGTGCTATTTACTTAAAACTGGCTGCGTGCCTGTCACCTGCTGCTGGGCCACCAATATTTCATTTTTAGAGGCCATGGAAATCCAAGCGCTGTGTAGCACCCTCTACAACCATCCACCCTGTAAAGTAATACCCAGAGCTTGTTGCTTTGCCCGGAGTGAAGTAGCGGTAGAAAGGAAAATGGTTGCTAGTACTTCTGTCAGTAACCCAACAGAGCTGTCTAGAAAGTAAATATGGTGACAATGCCTAGCCATGGGTGGAAAAAAAGAAAGAGTATGTCTCTGTCTCAACTGTGTAACAGTGTTGGAACATTGCTTGTGTTTAAATATCTGCTGATGCCGATTAAGTTTACCATCATCCTGCCACATAAAGGTAAGACAGATCTGACTGCAGAATAAATCTGTTAGTGGTATACTTTAACAATAAACATGTGCTGAAGGCTTTGTGTTTTCATCTGGTAACTGTTTCTAAGCCTGTAATCAGATATACACTGTGTTGTTTCCCTGTGTAAGTAATGTTGGCCTTTTAGATCTATTCAGCATTTTCATGTCAGAGCACCCGATTCCATCCAGAGG